AGGCATATGCATTTTGAAGTTGAAAATCAGACTTTTTAACTTTAGAAAGTCTGAGAAAGGCCATGATCTCTGATGAGAATATAAATGGTACTTTAATATCGTAGCTTTCAAGCCTTTGAAGCTGGTTTTTATACCCGGACTTCGCCATGGAATAACTCCATCCCCCCACCCCGCTCCTGCTCCGGCCAGTGGAGTTCTATTCTGCAGTGGTCCTCATAAATAAATAAATAATAATAAATAAATAAATAAAGTTAAATCGTTGTGGAAGTTCATTTATGAAATCAATTGAAACGGTCAGTCCGAACCACCGGCAACGGTGGGCAGTCACTTCACACTCCTCGGAAAATAGCCCACCGCAACGTGGGCAGTACACTTCACACTCCTCTGAAAACAAAGTTTCGAAACGATAATTAATTGTATAATGTGAGTGAGGCCATAGCTTTTGTCCCATTTTCAGCAGACAGCTGCTGGAATGTATTATGATTTATTCGTCTTGCTAACCTGGAAAATTGATACAATAAGCTCAATAGTGATCTGCCAAGTTAATAGATTGTTTTTCTTTCTTATGTCTTGTAGTTTAGTTATCGTTGAAGTTCTTAACAGCTGCTACCTCTAACTGCCCTCTTGCTTGAAATGAGACTAAACGACTTCTTTGCTGACCACCCCTTCAATATATGCAAAAATTGAAGAATATCGTTAAAATTTCGGTTTAAACATCATAATCAAGATAATAATAAATAGATTAGTTTGATTCAACTTGTTTCTATTATAAACATAATAACTTCATTAGACTTGGTAAAGAACGTCTCCTCGGGCAGCACAGTAAATAAATAATAAATAAATATGTATGTTAGGAGAGTGACTGGCGTTCGTCTCCTCTGTTTCATAGAACGTCTTCCCAAAACAGAGCTCGACGCTCCATAAGTGGGCCGGCACTTGTATTTGAGTCTTTTTCTCTCTTCACTATTCTACCTTTGTTCTTTGACAAAGATCATAAAGAGTATTACGATTTATTCCTGGTTTGATTTCCTTCTAACCCTTTTGCGGAACAGATGTCAAGCTACCTCATTATTATTCTTTATTAGAATTCTTTATTTTTGTTTTATTTTTTTATCATTTTATGATTGTTTTATTGTTCTATTTATTTTATTGTATTAGTATTCGTTGTTTTTAGCCCCTTCAATTTTTCGATTCCCAATGTTTTGTTCCAGTCCGATATTTCTCCCTGAATCTGCTTGAAGTTTAATATGCTGGACTAGAACTTTTCTTTTCTATCCAACTTCTTTCACCCCAACCCCCCCCCCTCCTCACCCCCACCACCCCATTCGTGCTCACTGTTGACCTCTCTGATCCAATTGGAGTAGCGATTTTCACTTCTCGTGCTCCTAATTATGTAACAAATATTTTATTTAGTTACGGTAAGCTAAGTTTGTTCTCTTTGAGTGGAGAATTGTCTCAGGTCAATTTCCTCCCCTTACCCTTCGGTGCAGCAATCATGCAAAGAAGTGCACCCATGCCAGCGATTCTTCAGATGGTGTTTTTTGATAGGGCAGACCGGCCTTCTCCAAAATCCACTTATTCGTTTTTTCAGCGCGGCTGCGCCAACCAAGCAACTAATGAGCCTTGTGCTTGTCCCAGCTGCATCCAATCAATCAGATCGGCTTTTTGTAAAGTGCGATCTTTGGCTTTTGATGTTGCTTCTTTGGTTACCCACAAAGTAGCTTGTCTATTACAAAAAGCTTGGAGGGGAACTTTTTTTGATCTAGGGGATGATTTCCCACATCGAATGGGCTGTCTCATCGTCCGATAGGTGGCCTTCGTGTTCCAGGTATGCCGTAGTGCTGCTTCTTTGTGTGTGGCCTCTCGTCTTCACTACCGGATAATGAGCCTGCGCGCAAAGTTAGCCTTGTCCGGTTTCCTCCACCACCCTCTCTCACGGCGCTCTCTTCCTCCTTCTTACGACAGTCAGACAGACACATCCACGATCAAAGCAAATATTCACCAACGTACGTACGACCAACCCCCATTGCACGTACATTGTTGTATTTCTGTGCTCACGCTGAAACCTACTCCATGTTTCCGTTTTGTTATTTTTATGGGAACTGGGTTCTGTGTCTCGATTTCTCACACTTTAGCATGGGATGAGCATCCTCCCACCTTCCCCCTTTCTGGGTGATTGAGCATTTCTCACCAATCATCGTTTCCTCTTCGCTGTCATTTGAAACCCAACCAGAACCCGGAATGATCCTGAGGTTCCGATTACTCGAAACTAAGGTTTTCTTGAGCTGTTGGTGTTACAGGGGTGGAGTTATGCTCGGGGAACTCCTATCAAATAGTTCAGATCCTGCCAGCCAGCAGTTTGATCGTGTCACAAACCAGCTGAATGCATGGCAAGACCGGGTCTACTTTCTTCATGACAACGCTCGACCCCAAATTGTAAAGTAAACATAGGAAAACCTGAATACTATTGGTTGAACAGTTTTTCCTCATCCGCTTCGCAGTCCTTACCTCACTTCGAGGGATCACCACCTTTCCGCCTCTCTTTAGATCGCCTTCTCAACAACCTTACACCAGGACTTCGTCCTCGGCACCTTATGCTTCCTCCAAAGTCCGCTGAAATCCTCAAGATGGCCTCTCCTAGTTTTCCATTAGCTGTCCTATTTTAGATAAAAAGCAGACATAAAGCATTTGCCGTTGATCAATCCCGTCTTGGGATGCGGCACGCATTCTACTTCCATTTGTACATTCGCAGTGGCATTTGAATGCGATGTGGCCTATACAATGACTTGCGGGGGCCAGCCGATGTTCAAGTCAGTGTTTTTATCCTCCCAGAGTCTGTACAATCACGCCAGAAGGGGTGAACTGCTTGCCAGGCGATTTAAAGGATAAAGGATAAAGCATTTGCCGTTGATCAATCCCTTTTTGGGATGCGGCACGCATTCTACTTCCATTTGTACATTCGTAGTGGCGTTTGAATGCGATGTGGCCTATACAATGACTTGCGGGGGCCAGCCGATGTACAAGTCAGTGTTTTTATCCTCCCAGACAAGTCTGGTACCAATTAACCGACCCCGGAGGGATGGAAGGCTTGGTTGGCCCGGGCGACTCACGACCCAGGATTTGATCCCCGGACCGCTCGCGTGGTAGCGTGCCACTTGCCACTACACCACTTCCGCCCTGATTAGATAATGCGAAATTAATAAGATTAATGCATTTCTTAGAGATATCTTAAGCGATGAGATTAATATGTCATCTTTCGTTATTAGGTTGAGGAAACCCCTTGGCTCGAACTGTGTGCGATAGCGATGGTTTTCTGGGTTCCGATAAGTGTGCCTTACAAAGCTTATTTTATTGGGGAGATTTTGGAAAACTATTCGAAAAAGATCTCTTACGTTTAGATGTGTCTTGTGAAGCCTATGAGCCCTTTCTAACGGTCTGCAGCCAAAATACCTTCCAATTCTTGCAGCATAGGTGTTACTGAGCATTGTTGTAAATTCATCGAATGTCATTTGCTGTAAAATGATTCTGTAATTTTTTTCGCACGGCTGTTTTATGCGGCGTACTCCAATAAACAAATGTATAGAATAATAAATACCAGATTAGTCCCCCGTCAACCGCCGGGACCTTCCTTTCCTGCGCAAGCTTTCTATCCTCCGCTATGGTCCCTTCCTCCTGTGACACCAACACCTCGTGGAAGTGACGCGTATGCAACACAATGGTGTTTCAAACAGTAGAAGGGACACAATCATGATATGACGGTAGATTTTTCGCTTCCCTTCCTCTCTCCACTGCCCTCCAGCTGCCACTGCAGCACCATGTGGAATGAACGGAAGTGTGCTAAGCAGGTGTTTATATAGCCCTAAGAGTGTTATCACAACTATCCTACAAAAATTGATATCTCAAATCCTGTAAGCTACCCGATTTGTTAGCGGTTTGTTTATCCCATGAGCTTCCTTCTCACTCACTTCATTTTGCGGACGGACACACATACACACACACACACATACAGATACACAAACCGACACACAAAGTTAGCGCTTTATAAAATAGAAGGATAATCGAAAACAAATAATAATGTAATATGTAAAAGCCATGATTGAAAAATTATACTCAGTTCTATTTTGTTTTACTTCGCTTTGCAAATTCTGACCCTCTTTTTCCTTCCAAATTGTATTTCTTCTATATATTCTTAGCTTTGGAGAGAAAGCATACAAGTCAATCAAAAACATTAGAAAAAAAAACAATAGTGAATCAAAAAAAATCGGACAATGAAATGTGTGGTTTTGAGTAAGACAACACATATCTTACGAAAGTAAGAAGAGGGAAAAGGCCATTTCCTTTTTGAATCGGTTTATTGTGGTGTGGTCAAATCGACGTCTTCTCGTTTTCCGAAATGGAGGGTATTCTAAAATTCATTGATATCACTTATTTTAGATAGTTTTGTAATTTTTTTTGCACAACTGTATTTACAGGTAAATAAATACAGCGTTCAGTAAATAAATAAAATATGCAAAAAATAAACATCAAGAATAAACCCCAAAAATAACATACAAAATCAAGTTTCGTTGAAAACGCAACTCTTTATGGGACACACAGTCATTCATTTCTCCCTATTTCCCTTCATTTAAGTACCACCGCAAATTTTCTACTCCTTTCTGGAAGCCATATGCTTCACTACACTAGCGTTTAGTTCATTAAAGCAATGCTCTCTGCCCGACCAGCTTTCGAACAGTGCGAGTGTCGTTATCACCCCTGTGCCTGTTCCCACGTACAGGGCTGACTCACCGCAATGGAACTGTGCTTGTGTCTGTGTGTTCAAGAAATCGCTTGTCAAATATCGATGCCAGCTGATTCATTCATGATTCGTTTTCTTCATAAAAATTTGACTCGATTGCCACCTTCGTGTTCGATGACGGGCGCCTACCGGCCTGGCGGCGCTCTTTAGCGGGTGATTATGTTGTTGCATCTCATTACATCCGTTTGGGGCGATAACGATATGTATGTGGTGTAAGGAAAGTGATAGTGCGGCGCCGTCCTTGACGACGTCACCGGCACATATCCCTGGATCGCGTGTGTCTGTACGGTTCCAGACAGACATCTCACCGAACAGTTCAACTTTTCCGTTGCTCCCTTCCTTGGATCGTTCCTCTCCACTTCGCCATCGAGTGTTTGGGCTCGGTCATCCTCGCGGATGGCGGCGACCGGCGACGGTCAGTCGGGTTTTCTTTTGAAGGGGCCGTCTGCCATTATGTGTTGAGTGTTTTGTAGGCTGGCTCAGCCACGGCCAACCACTACCTTTTGTTCACCTTTTCTTAAAGGGGGATTCGTACTTGATCGTCAACATTGAATGGTTTTTGAGTAGTGATGAATACATGGGCGCTATTGTCCTTCCCTTTGGTGCACAAATCGTAGGCTTTTGATAGCTTTTCGGCCGTAAAGATGCCCTGAGAAGCATTCATGTTGAAGCCGTCTGTAGACGCCTGCAAAAAGCGGAAATAATGATTTTTCGAGTCGATGATTTCGTCTGGTCGAAATTAAGCCTTTTCCCAAGAAATGCTGTGGTATGCAGGCGGGGAGCATGTAAAAATGCTGCAATGATTCGACAGGGTCGAAGCGCTAAGGCCTTGTAATGCAGCACTGGCCCCGCCCAACTCCACTAACCCCGCCCACAAATCTATGCCATTTCGTTTCGCTGCTATGGGGAGAATCTTCATTTTCGAACTTTTGGACGGTTTTTTCCATTTTTCCTTCACTGAAGTCACCCTGTTACATCCTCACAGGCAGAACATAAGTGTAATAACACAACATTTTGTCCCAAACTTTGCCTTTAAGTCCACATCGTTTGAAGTTCATTTTGCTTTCAATCATCATTGACGTGTCTCCTCCTACAAAGTTCAGCGTGAAATTGAGACCTTGCAACCTCAGAGCGCCTACCCTGCCCTCCCCCGCCGGGACATGCGTGACTCCCCTCGCATTCATCTTAAACACTCGCAACACTTGCTTCACACCAGATTGTTTTCATTGGCTGATCTTCTCGTGTTGCATTCCGCATTGAATCGAATGTTTTATTAGTATCCACAGTTTCCCTCGTTTTCCCCTCCCCCCCCCCATTCTCCTTTTGCTCTGAATCATCCGATCATAACCTTTCATTGTAACCCATTGGTGAGAAATGCCACTGGAATCTCTCTCGTAGAGCTCACGAGATTGCTAGACGAACTGTAGTACTGTAGTACTGAGTCCATGTAGTACTCCTACCCCATCAAACCATGATCAATTGCCGGCTAAACGTTCCTGCCCCACCTAAGCGCACAGCTGACCCCGACGTCTGTGCCAGGGCAACCCTTTGTTTTCGATTCGTTGCGGTGCTAAATTTAAGTCATTTACATTTGTTCTCTGTCTGAGCCGCCAGCTGTGGGCGAAACGCTCAAATGTTACGAGGTCTTCTGCCCTTCATGCATTGTTAGGCTCATTACGCGGTTGGGCTCATCCCTGTTCTCAGTGGCACCCTCAGAGATCCAAGCATTCTTAAGGGATTTTCATAGGCGTCAGTGCGTTCTTCGGAATTAATAATCAATCGATTGAAGCACGTGTGCAAATCGAGCTCTCCCATACGGTATGGTTAGAAAAACCCAGCCTCTCGAAAATTTATTCCGGGTCAATGGGAACATCTCCATTCTACAATCAACAATCAATACCACTCAATCAATCACACATTCAGCACATCAACTGATAATACTTTATGAGCCTCGTTCGCCATTCTGATCCAAACATTTTGTTGTTTTTCTCGAGTAGACAGTCTCTGCATGATTTCGCGCTTATTCATCGGCATCAGCTCTTTGTTATGCGACGGCATCCTTCATCAGCTTTACCTCTGGAAGTTTCGCTTTCCAATCGTTAGGATTAGAGTCCGATTTCATTGGCATCCATTCCTTTCCACTGTCTATTATCTGAAGATTGCCCCTTCTTGTTATGAGGTTTCCATTTTTCCTTAAAGAAGGGAGGGAAGCTCATGAAGTTCCACTTCGCCTTTGTCCTGAATCGTGGTAGCCGCTTTTCCGATTTAGCACTCTCAAAAGGTCCGGGAGCTATTCCTTCCCTCGATAGTGAGGGAATCAGCAGATACGGTTGGCTCCGGTCGGGACTCGAGCTAAATACACTGCGTTTCATAATTATAGGTCCACCCTAAATTTTTGCTACTCCCAAAGTTGCTGTGCATTTTTTGGAAATGCTGCTATCACCATTAGATTCCTCATCATGGAAAACCTCACAGTGTTTTTCTGACAAAGTTCCTCCCTCAAGTAACCCAATTAACTTTTTCTAGAACGAATTTTCACCGTTTCATGAATATCGGGCCACTCATAAAAAGTTTCCATTTCTCGTGATCCGTGAAGGGAATAAGGGAAGCGGGGATATATGTGAGCTCAGTCGACATCGAGTTTACCATACCTCGTGTTACTCGCCTCTCTTCCCAGTAACAAGCTCAAGCCAGAGCACTTACTGAAGTGGGATGGCAAAGGAGCAAAATTTCCTCCCAAGCCGGCCGGCTCCTACGACCTAAGCAACTAAGTGCGAAATCCTGGTCAGTGCGGGGAGAAGAGTAGCTTAGGTAAATGAAGACCGCGTTTCCTTCAAGATTTAGGAGGAACTTGGGCGTCTTCTCTCGAATTGTGTAAGGGGTCCGAACAAAGTCCGTGCTGAAATGCGGCCTTCCGTGAGCAAAACCACCGTGTGGTGTGTAAGCCAGCAGAGCAATACATCTTCAGCGGATTGATGAAGAGCGTTCCAAGATTATTTGAGCGCTACAAGATCGCACGTCTCCATTTCAGCGTGGAAAAGGGCGCAACTTTATGAACGAAGGTTTGGCTGTTCAGACCCTTCGCGATCTTGGACTCTAGCTCCTTGTTTCGTGCTACAGGTGATCTGAGATCGACGTGAAAAAGTTTATTCTAGGTGGATCTGATAGAAAAAAAGCGTACGGGAGGGTTCCGTGGAAATCGTAGATGGTTTTGATGTAAGGTAATTTTGGCGAAGAATCCCTTATGGATTGAGGCACCTTTGAACGACTGAGCGGCTAGAGCTCGTGTTTGTTTCCTTTCAAGAGGATTCCATAGGGTATCGTGAAGTTCTTCTGAAGCGACTGTTACCATCTTTCCGACAACAGCTCCCTCGAACCTTGATTTTTACGCACGATAACGCGGCTGTCCATGCCGGTCCTTCCACGCCAGATGGAATTGCAGGAAAAAATGTGGCAGTTATCTGGTGGCCACCATGTTATCTGAATCAGATTCCAATAGAGAATCATTGGGCCTTAATTGTTATAAAGTTCCACAGCAAAGAAAAGCAAAATGGAACAGCCGAAGAGCTGAAAACGTCGATCATCAGGCGCACAGACAAATTTCGATCCTACTGTAATAGCTAATTTGGTTACCAGCATTTCCAAAACGTATTATTGTGTTCCTTATGACTTATGGGAGGACCATCCCATTATTGAAAATTTGTGACGTTTTTTCGTTATAATAAAATCTCTCGACAAGTGATGTGTAGTCATATTTGCGAAACGGTGAAAATACGTTCTAAAAAAGATATTTTAATTAATTCTTAATCAAGATTTCTCCAAAAATCGAGTATCAAGGTTTTTCGTTATGGGGAAACTATTGGTAATAGCGGCATTTCCCAAAAATGCACAGCAACTTTGGAATAGCAAAAAATTAGGGTGGACCTATATTTATGAAACGCAGTGTATTATGGCGCCTTGGCGTACTCATAGTGGTGTGAGATCTTGGCGGCTACAGAAATCCAAATTCGCAGAGAGGAGAATTCCCCTCGAAAAAGGTGGTTACTTCACGCAATATGAACTGTCGCACCACATGCCTCCTCACTGGATAGGACCCGTTTCACCCGTTGATCGTTTTGGCCATTTTTGTCTCCAACCGTTTCTTTGATTACAGTATCCTCTGTAAAGGATCGCTAGTCACCTAGACATTATAGGAGGGTCAAGGGCCCACCGGTTGAGAGGGCATTTTCGCCCGAAGATGGTGACTTCTCTTTGTAGATTCCGCATGGCCCAGCCAATCGCCCTCCTACGAGTTCCAGCAACCCTTTAGTTACAATCCGATGTCCGTTCACGGGTTTCTCTGTTCTTCATCCTCTCACGTGCATATTTTATTCGCCCACAGTGAATGAGCCATTGTGGTCATGATTCATTCGAGCAATATAGTCGTGTCCCGCATGTCCCGCCACAGTCTTCGTTTGCTCCTAAAGGGTCATTAGTTTCGTAGTCATCGTTATGGGCGATTGACTGTCCCCGTAGTATCCGTGTAGGGAAGGTGAACTAGTTTCTTTCTGAAAAAGTGGACGCCGTCAATCTTGGCGGTAACTCTATCCAGAGTGATGAAAAGTCCTTTCAGTAGAACATTTATGACGGAGAGGTGAGTAGAGAAAAAGTGGCGCTTAAAGACAGTCGGGCAACATTCCAGTCTGGGACGCACCGTGTGCTGGATGAATGGCCGGCTGGCGAGTGCCTCTAGACGTCCCTCCCCTCCTACTCGTCCTCCTCTCACCCTCTTCTTTCCATTTCCTCGAGTTCTTCGAGTGGCAGGCCTGTGCCGCAGATGCGTGATGGTTATGTGAGGTCACGCCGAGTTATGCAATTATTCGTTCGTTGAATGACGTCCTTCGCTTCTTTTCTCTTTTTTCTCACATTGTCTCTGACGGCGCCTCTGTGCAGGCTATTCGAGAAGGCTCCTTGACTCGCGCTGTCCAAACGTCTGCAATTCCAAAGGGTACGGTCTCTTGCCCTGTTTTTGCTCACTGAGCGGACTATAATATCTCAGGGTTGTGTCCTTATTGATATTTTTTTGATAAATCGCAGTCTGTCGGATTTCATCGCTATCTTTGACTGTTTTGACCGTGCACTAATTGAGGGCTTGTTGATGAATGAAGTGCTAGCTCTACACAGAAACTAAAGGTAGAAGCAGTATTTCCATCGAATTGGTTAAATAATTCATGTGAAGTCTAGTGGAGGGATTTATCTTCAAATGTTAAGAAGCATATTCTCTTTTGGATCCTTTTTTCCTTAGTTTTCTATAATTCGTTCGCAGTATAATGAATGAAGTCATCCAAATATCAATTTGCTCTCAATTTTCAGTTCTGCAATCCTTTCCAACCATTGGATTCGCCCGCAAACGAGCGCTTCTGATTGTGTTCCTGTGTGGCCCTGTTTTTTTTATATTATATTGACGCTATCGCAGGATAGGGGGCCATTCTATGGGATTAAGCCTAAGAGGGAGCAGGAATCTGTGAACAAGGAGAATTGCTCACGCACCCTGAATTTGCACTCCCCTCCCTAAGTCTTATTTATTTATTTATATTATTTATTTGAAACTGCACTTTTGGTGCGCCCAACAAAACCCCGAGATCGTGTTATCGAATCATAAAAGAGGAACACTTCAAACAATTACTAAAATGAAACTAAGTACAAAACTGCTACTGCCGGCAGACAACATACCCCTAACTAGACGGCTAAAGCTGAGAATAAAAGCCCTCTCAGCCCTGCTCTCAACAAAAAAAGAGAATGTCTATCCGCGGCCTCGAATGCCTGCACTACCAAATAGCCCTTGACTTGCGATAGCACTATATTGCTACAAGAATGGTGACATGGCAAAATTCTCGCCTACTGTAAAATCAACCATACCACTCTCGCTTCAGACACGACACTTGGTTACCGACATTACGATTAGACTTAATACTTATGTTTCAAAGGTCAAATGTCGAGCAGGAACGACTTGCGTAACTTCGAAATTAACATTGCGATTACTTACTTACTTTACTTTGATTTATTTATTACACATTTATGAAGATATGTACGAAAAAAAAAAATGATTCTAGGACACTCTAAGGAAGAAATAGCCAGTAAACAGTTTCAAAATGTAACTAGTGTTAAAAGCCAACTGATCATTAGATACAAAGATAAATCCAAAAATCAAGAAACGAGATTCGCTCTCGAGTCATAGAGCGCTTCCGTCAGTCTCCGTTGGCCGATTATCTGGTGACAGGCTTGCTAGACTTCAGGTAAAGTACTAACCATAAGATAATAGCCAACCTTTGGCTGGCTTTTCTAATACCATTAAGGTCAGACTTTGTTCACGTGCCCTGTGGTTAGAAGTGCATGTCAAATGCGTGGCGTATCCGAGAGGAAGGATGACACTGATCGCTTCATTCCCTGACTATCTTTGAGCTTTTTTTAAGGAGCATTTCAGAACCAGTAGTAGTGCTTCGCGGTCCTTTGAATAAAGATGTATCCAAGATATTGACTAGGGCTTCCCTTTTTCTAATCATAACTCTATTGGGGAAACCAGCGTAAGCACTATGTAGGGGGTGCGTTAGACATATGCGATGTCGATCGTGAGCCCCCTCCTTTTTGTGGATCTAAGCAAGACCGTAACAGGAGTGATCAATGCCATAAGACAATGTTCTTTTCATTTCTGTTCTCGTTCTGTATATGTTCTTTGGGCGTTCGCTGCTCTCAAAGTTCACTCATTTATCTTTTGTGCCCGACCAGGTTCGAGTAAAAGCAGTTTTCAGCTTGAGTTTATTTCTAGCTGTTGGATGATATTGGGGAAAAGCTGATATACTAAGGCGTTGGACAAGCTAACGACAGACGGGAAAGGGAGGAGGGACGTTGCAGATCTCCCCCTTTGGTCAGGTTACCTAAAACTGAGACACCATTCATCTGCCGCACAGCCTATGAACCCTGAGCCCAGCCATCAAGGCTCGAGCACAAACGTAGCATAAGCCTTAACCTAAACTTGAGCCCAAGCTTAACGTCAGGCTTCAATGACCGCACAGTTCTGGTAACCTGACCCCACGAAGAGAACTGAACATACTTCCCGTTGAGGGCAGGCAAGAGCAAGATATCTCAGGAATTTACCTGACGAAGGAATGTTCTAGCTTCAAAATAGAGATGAAGCTCTCCTGAGCATTATATTGCATTAGCGATATTGAAGAAGAAAAGAGGAGCCACGAATTTCCCACTATATAGCGCTGTCCCATGGTATGGCCCCATGCCGGAAATGTTTTCTGATTTGATGATCACAATTTTGGTCATATACCGTGGTAAAAAATCTGTGATAAGCATGTTGTTTTCCTGCGTCCGCGATATCTCGCATACTCCCTCGTGTTGCGTTTAATCTTGAAGAGCTGTGGCACAGCTGTTGGCGCTCCTGCCGGCAGCCATGCCCAGCTACTCACCATGGATCGAAGGCATCATTCTGCTTCCCCCTCTCATCATCTATCATTTTTCATATGCATCTGGATGATTTGTAGAGAACTCTGTTGAAGCGGATTCCGTTCAATCCCTGTTTGCTTGCGGGGTCAAGGATGCTACGCAAGTCTTTAGCTCGGGTGCCAGCAGTAGCAGCAAGCTTGAATGCCTCCTGCTGAACTATTAGCCCATTCCTGGACTATTCAGCAGAGTGCTTTATGTAACAGTTTCTTTCTCCATCTCATCTAATCGCAATGACGTCTCGCTTTTTGTTGTGCTGTTGGTGCGTTCACTAATTTGACTGGTTCCAGTAGAATCGTATAACTCGAGCACCTCCCGTTGGGTCACTAGGCGGTAGCCATGTTGGTAAACCCCGAACCCGAGCGTTGACATCTACACCACATCCTTTCCAGTTTGTCCGCTAATTCACTTGAAACGCAGATCACATCGTTTACAGGAGATCAAGCAGGGATTCAAGCTGAGACCGACGAAGACTGTCGACAAGTCAAAGCCGATTATTGTGGCTGAAATTGACGATGAGGACTCTATCGCACCCACAAAGCGATCCCCAGCACCTCCTGCTCCATCACTTGTAGTCGATACGGTATGAGCCCTTGAGGTTTCTCGTTTGCCAAATTGGATCGCTAATTTTTTCATCATTCTTGAAAGAAGGCAAAAAATAGGGCTAGTTGCTAGTCTTGCGCGCATTGAACTGGTAATAGGGGACTCGTTCTTTTACGGGTTTTCGGGGCATTCAAGACGATCCAATGACAACCGATGTGTCTGTCCTTCAATGCCAGTCTTACGATGATCTCGCCTCATAATTGCTTTTTGAAATAGGCCAGCTAAGTGCGTTTATGACTTTTTCGGGATCGTAATCATCCCCTTCGTTGGAGAATCCGCATTTAAGCTGCGCAATATTTGGATGTCGCAGCGTTTTAGTTAAAGGCTAGTCCTTAGGGAAAACCAATTCTCCATAATTTATAAGTTTATAAGCTCTGGAACGTACGCTGGAAAGCAACTCCACCCCTGAGCAAGTTTTACGGCACTATCGCCCAGAATAGCGGTGGCGTTATGGTGGCAAATGCATTGAAAACTGCGTCAGTACGTCTCCTTGTTCAAAACGGAACCAACCGCCTGGGCAAGATAGGGGAGATTTCAATTCATAAGCTAATTTCAATGCTCTTCTAAGTCCTCCCTAGGCTTAGTTTTGAGGATGCCCCCATATCTTGCGGTAGCGCAGTGTTTTGATTTGAAAAATTTCTTTCAAAATATCCTTCAGGCGCCACCTGAACACTCCGACCAAAATCCCCGAGCCTCACCGTCGCCGAGATCTTCGCCCAGACCTGGACCGAGTACAGCATCGTCCTTCCCCTTCGGCACCGTTCCTGGTGGGGCACCACCTCCACCACCACCGCCACCACCAGGTTCTGGTTTCATGCCACCACCACCACCACCTCCTCCAGGAGCACCGGCTCCACCACCGCCGCCACCATCCAATATTCCAGCAGTGCAAAAAACCCGTAAGTCACCGTCGCCATTCCCACAGTTGGGAGGGAAATCGCCGGCCGAAGTGGATCTCGGCGCGATTGCTGCACTCCATTCAAGTGAGTCTTTCCGCTACAATGAGAATGCGACCGGTAGGGGTTGCGTGTTTCAGGGAGGAGTGCGCTTACGAAAGACGGTCACCATCGACAAAAGTGGTCTGATAGTGGACGAGTCTCTGAAGCAGAAAAGCGTTCAGCTGGTCGAACCGGCGCCGTCAACTGCATTCATCCCGCCCAAAAAGGATCCTCCCAGAAGGGATTTCCAACGCCCGGTGTCCCCTCGAAATGCTTCCTATCTTCAGACGGATGCATTCGTATATACAGGTGGATATCTTATAAAACACTTGTTAGCCATATATTGGTTCACAACGGCGCTCCATTCACAGACGTTCCCGGTTTTTCAGGTTCGACCCCTACGGCCGAGGCTCGCGAATTTTACGGGGGTTACACCTGAAGGCCTGACCTCCTCGTTTTCAGCGACAATCGCCCCCCGTCAAGGAAGAAAGAAGCCACTGTCCGCATTTAGTGAGAAAAGTCTGAAAGTCACCAAGGAGGAGTTGGAACAGGTACTCGCATCTGTGCTGACTTTTGTTTATCATATGTCACCTTGTCAGAGAAGCAAAAACACTTTCTGCAGAATGAGGGGCTGTTTTTTTTATAAATACCTGCAAGGATAAGCTAGCCCAGAAGCCGATTTCGAAATCAGCCGGTAGAATACAATGAGGAGGTGCCACAATTTCAAACCAATTATTTGATTTTTCGGTGGATTTGAATTCTTCTTAGTACCAAGTTGTGGTTTACTTACTAATACACTAGAACAAAATGTCGTCAAGGGGTGAACATCCAGAAGCAGCCCGATAGCAATGTCGTAGTTCGTCCTGCCCTGATCGCTTCCATTAAGGCCGGCGCATCGCTGCGACCAGTTCATACCTTTTCAAAGTATTCATTTTAAGGTACCTGACAGAGCCCGTCCACTGCCGAGAATACATGCTCACAAGCACCGCGCGGGGGGGTCGGTGGATGACGCTTGAGTCGTATAGTATAACAGTGCGTCGCGTCAATTGAATAGATGTTACTGCAATAGGTCCCACAGCACAAGCTTGGGACTCTCGCTGACCGTCTGCGCTTTGCCTTTGCGCGCACACCCTCTTGTCGGTCCCCCGTCCAAGGGCAGCGGTCAACCGGAAGGCTTGGTGATTCAGCGTTTTGTAGTGTTCTCTGGGCACTCTCGCATATGCACACTATTACAGCATCTCTGCTTTCTTTCCTTCACCCAAAAGGCTTAGTCTAGAAAGCAGAAAGTATGTGCTTTTCTGTCTGGACTCTCTCACGCTTTGGTTGACGCACTGGCGCATAACGCGTTTGGGTTTCGCAGTTTTCGCAGAGAGAAATGTCCAGGACGAAGAAGCGGAGTGTTAACGCACTTCGGGATTTCCCCCTCCAATAACTGGATCGTAGGCGCCGCAATGTCACACTACATGCCTCTCTTTGCTGAATAAGACTTCTTGAATGTTCTGGCGTTGGAAAATCACTGTCTGTGAGCGCACAAATCACCATTTCCGGTGCTGGGAAGGTTGTTTTCGAATCATCCTGTCTCTGTTCTCGATTTCTGTTGATACTTCGCTTCCAAACGAGATGCTTCCCTGTTGTCACATACTCAGAAAACACTTCATATATCTTGATTCCATGGTTACTTTTGTACAATCCTCTGTCTCTGTGGATGTGCCTGCCGCTGTTAATTCCACCCATATAACCCTAGGCTACTGACTTTTTTAAAAAACCCGTTCAATGTTTCTGCCGTAAAATCGTTGCTCCTTGCCACAACTCACCATCTACAGAAATGCTGACCGTACGCTGGCTTGAGCTGGATTTGACGCGCCGACCATACACGCGATAGTGGCCCCTCCTTCACAACACCGTCTCCGCTCGAATGACCATTTTCGAAAAAATAGACTGGCAGTTAAATTACCATTTACCAAATACACATTTTCCACATTGCATTCCTGGAATAAGCTAATGTCCGATTGGGAACGCACTTGGAAAGAATTGTAAGTTCACTTGGTAGATGTGTGCTGCTCCGCGCTCTACGCGCTGCGTTCACCGGCTGCTTCTGCTGTCAAGATTTTCGATGGTTTTTTATCCAAAACTGCGTCTAACCGTATGGGAGTCTTTACTACCACTTCCGCACCATCCGAAACTGACAGATCCTAGAGGACGGAATCTCCAACACAGTCGTCGTACGCTGCGTCGTCCACTGACTGGCTTGCGACCGACAAAATGCCCCCATCCCTCATTGGTTTGCTTATGTTGCCACGAAAGACAATAATTGAGGGAAAACACTGGAACCATTACAAGCAAGTATAAAGAGTGTGAAGCCCGAAATTTACCCTTTTGGGAGGTGTGAACACTGTACAGTGACCTGCGATAAGACCTGCTTATTACCTTATCCAGGGTAACGCGCTCTGACTTAGGATGATTTGGGAAGTAGGTAGTAAGAATTGTAAATTTTCTATATGTGCACAATTCCGCCAAAAGCGGCCCTCCGATCTCAATAAGTGCCAAAACTGTGGTAGTGACTTTGACTACGAAGTGGGACACATGTGTACCACCAGTAGTCAAAGATTAACTTACGCAGGATGACTCGCTTTAGCTTCTGACGATTCACTGTCATAGTAAGAATTAGAAAGCTTCTATATGTGCACAATTCAGCCATCAAATGAGCCGCTCCTGCCTCATATTCCTGAACTGTGGTAGTGTCTTTGACTACGAAGTGGGACACATGTGTCCCACCAGTAGTCAAAGGGTTAAACGCGAGCTATTAACTTGAGCGATTTTCCTTACAGGTTTTCGCAAAAGTTGATGAATTGAGAATCCAGTCTGCCTCCCCTTTCCTCAGGAATTTGGGCTTCTGAGTCATTCCTTATATCTCATCTCACCTCCCCGCATTCATGGCCAGGGTTGTAAGCGAATCCTACTTCTTAATTGTGGGTGAACTCATCCAGGAACTTTTCATACAAACACGAAAACTTTCAGGAAATTCCGACAGGAACAGCGGCTGCTCGAATCGCAAAATTCATGCAAAGCACCGGCGGCAGTGATGCGACGAACGGCGGCACAGTGCCACGAAACTTCCGTCCGTCTCCCGTGCGATTCCCCATCACCAAAGAGGTACGCAAAAACTCTTTTATGTATGCTGTGAGCGGCGAAAACCACATCTGTGCTTTTTTCATATCTATGAACGATAGAATAAAACAATTTCTCTCAAAATGAGCCAGAAGAAGTAAGCCGAAGTGAAAGTACTAGCAGAAATTACAGGGTAGTGACATGAGAAGGAGCTTTCTTACTGCCAAAGTGTCTTAGTAGGGAAGATACTCATGAAATATGTATGTTAATTGTGACGAGGACTGGGTGAAGATTTGTAGGAAGTGCCCCATCCCCCTCCCCACTTTCTTCACGATTTGGGGCGCGGCCGAGTTGATAGTGCCCGCGAACTGTGCTGATGGAGTGTTTTCAAACCTACCCGCACAGTTCGCGGGCACTATCAACTCGTCCGCGCTCGCCGCGGCCGCGCCCCAAATCGTGAAGAAAGTGGGGGAGCCGTAGGAGGGCTCGAGAAGCCGTAGGCAAGTCGTACAGCGGGAGAACAAGTCCTAGTCTTTCAAAGTAGCCTTCTGGTTGAAGGCAGTGTGTACGATACTTTGATGTCGTTCTAATATGGAATCAGAGATGCGAAGGTTGGCAGTGAAAAAGAAACCAGATGAAACCAAACGCGATAATTGAGACCCTCATCCTGTCCCATTGGCTTTGGATGAGGTCTCAGGAATGGTTTTTTTATTCGATGATGACGGAAGATACGGTCGCTGTGGCTAGTGCCCTTTCGCGTTTTCGGAAATGGAGCAAAATTTAGACATGGCTGTAACATCGGTAGTCGCAAGGCCTCACTACATTGCAATTAGCGCATCTTCCGCGGCGGAAGCGCCACATCTTGCTTCATTTGCCTGTATCCTTTCCTTCCCCAGGGGGCGCGTACCCCGCCCTTGATTCTATCCTAGGGTTGGAGAATACAAGGCCGCGTCATGGACCCACCATACCTCTGCGTTTCTTGATTCTAGACAGGTAGAGCAGCGCGACCCATGCTTCAACAGGGGAAGGTAGCTACAACATCAACCGTTTAATGACGGTTGTATGACATAACCCTGTCTCCCCCGTCCTGGGTTGAATCGACGGCGGGGACGCGTCCCCCTGTGGAAGGATAGGTATATAGCTCCCGGTTCCCGCTCTCAATGGTGATACCTTAATGCACACCCATCCTACTGCCTCGTACTCACTGCATTGAAGTATCGAGCTGATTCCTGTGTGGAAGGCGGCTTGACTCTACCTCTTAGGCTGCTTTCATAGTTCGCATCGGTGCGGTCGGTGCCGACGGCGCCGACGGCGCCGACCGCACCGACAGTGTGAAGAGCGTCAATACGCGCTCTGGCGCATGACGCGTACGTTGGGCGCAGATGGCGCGCTCCGATCGATAATCTTGGTTTTGGTGTATTTCTTGTCTTTTTCGATGTTTTTTTTGCGCAGTCTTCCTTTTATTCGTGTGTTTTCTGTTCATACTTATTCTTTGTCTTGATTAATACTTTTCAGTTGTTCCGCGGACGAGCGACGTCGTACAACCCCGTGTGAACGTGGCTTCAAGACCCAGTGAGTTCATCATGAGCAATTTTGTTTATTCGAGTGAACTGTATGTTTCCAGTAGTTGCTTTCTCTTCGATACGATTTCCTGCTGGTGTGCGAATAATTAAATTACCAAGATCCGGCGGCCTTTCGCACACCAGCAGGAAATCGTATCGAAGAAAAAGCAACTTCTAAAACATAGAGTTCCACTCGAATAAACAAAATTGCTTATGATGAACTCACCCGGTATAGCCACTTCACCTGGGGTAGTACGACGGGGTTCTACGAAGTCGCTCGTCCGCGGAACAACTGAAAAGTATAATCAAGACATAAAAGAATAAGTATGAACAGAAAACACACGAATAAAAGCAACACGGCGCAAAAAAACATCGAAAAAGACAAGAAATACACCAAAACCAAGATTATCGATCGGAGCGCGCCATCTGCGCCCAACGTACGCGTCATGCGCCAGAGCGCGTATTGACGCTCTTCACACTGTCGGTGC